AGCTACTGAAAAATCAAAATACGGGTTTATAACTGTAATAGCTCAGTGGATAATCAAAATTTGTATTCCATTTTCTAGATATTCCAGTTATTTCAGCTACGAGGAATACAAACGGATATCAGACGCATATGTATGAAAAAATAAGAAAAGAGAGAGAAACTTACGATTCCAATTTTCAAGTGGGATGAGAAACGGCCAAGAATCGGCCTTTCGGCAGGAACTTCTTTACCTTTAGCTGCTTTTGGTGGCATAACTGAGAAATTGGGAAATGGACAGAAACTTGATGTGGTGAAGAGCTTAGGGTTTTGGATTTTGTGTTCGTTACAGTATCAGTGGAGAAATGGAAAAATAAGTTTTATACATGGTGGTCGGCTCCAGCGAAAAGAAGATGCTGACCCGAAAGTTGCTTGATTGGGCTCAAAATTTTGATACCTTCATATACGTTTTAATACATGTATCGCGATATATATAATGTCAAACTTAAATGTAATTTGTTCAACATTTGATTCACATGTTTGGATACATAACATATCACTCTAGCCGTTATCCCATTTTGCTTGTCACATTCTCGTGTATCTAATATTTCATATACATAGATATATACATATCTAGTGTATATATAGTGTGATTTGCATGTATCTGAGAAATATATGAATATTGTTTTGCTTTTCTCTCTATTTTGTGTATTTGATAGCAAACGCACATGTATCTAAGCATATTCTTTTTTAATATATGATATGAAACTTTTAATTATAGTGGGAAGACACGTAATATTTGAAAGTATAAATAACAATTGTATATATGGTTGTGAAGTATGTCTAATAAGATCGAAAATTGGATATTCTTTTATCGGGGTGTATGTGAAAAAATTTGAATTATGTGTATCTGAATTTTTGATAGAAGAAAATTGCTCTCAAATCTATATTTCACCACACGATTCAATAAACAAATCTATTCTAAATAAGCTCAAATTTAGAAATACAAATTTCATATATCAAAAACAGTAAACCACAATCATTAATTTATCCATATAACAACAAATCTAACACACAATACAACACTATTTTAAACTTTTGCATGTATATTTGCATTTTAGTCGTATATAACTAAAGCTCATGCAAAAATAGACTAAATTTTCAAAAAAAAAAAATTGTTCTTCAAACTTTAACAACCAACATCGAGATATACTCCAAGTAGAATCAAATTTGAAACATAAATTTCATATATGATACGGGCCAAAAACTTAATAATCAATTTATCAAAAGAACAATAACTCTTAAAACAAATTTTGCAAGAATGATTACTTACGAGTATTTTCAAAAATTCATTTGATTTAAATTTACTTTATATATTTAAAATTTTATCAAGCATTAGATTTTAATTGGTATAAACTTAACAAATTTTTATATGACAACTAAAAAGAAAGAGAATGAGAAGAAGAAGAAAAAGATGATTTTATCGAAAATTGCTTAATAGTGGAATTAGTTAAATATTTTTAAGAAGTGGGTATAGATTCAATGTGGAAAATTCTTTTAAATATCTCAAATTGCTAAATTTTTATATACATAAATTTTCAAATATATAACATAGTGAAGAAATAAAAAGACACAATCAAAGCGAAGAATATACAAGACTTTTAATTATTTTTTTTAAATGACCAAATCAACTATGTTTAGCAAGCAGGCATATTAATGACCATGTGCCTATTCCTAGACAATCATTAATGATAACATTACTAAAAGATAACTCTCGTTATGCACGGGTCCAATAATATATGTGAAATATTTAAGATATATTTTTATTGTGAAAATTAAACTTTGTAAACATATTATTTAAAAAAAGTTTAAATGTAGTATTCAAAAATAAAATTTATATCATCTCTGTTTATAAATTATTCTCTCTAATATGTATTAAAGTTGTACTATAAATGTCACGATCCAAAACGAGCCGCGAGTGGCACCCACACTTATCCTACTATGTGAGCGAACCAACCAATCTAAATCCCTACATTTCAACCATAAGAACCAGAATATAATGCGGAAGACTTAAAAGTCATTAACGAAATCAATTAAATAACTTCTAAAGCTCAAAACTTATCATTATCCCCAAAATCTGGAAGTCATCATCACAATAACATCTATTCTCAAATTACTAAATCTAAGAGTATCTAAGAAGCTAAAATAACTAAACAGCTAGTCCATGTCAGAACTTCAAGGCATCAAGACGTGAAGAAGAAGATCCAGTCCAAGCTAGAAACAATAGCTCACCCTGAAATCTGATGTGATGAAGACTGGCTAGAGTTGCGGTTGAGTTGAGGACGACGGTAGGTTTGCTGCACTCTGCAAATAACAAAGAGAAAACATACAAGTAGGGGTCAGTACAAAACACGAGTACTGAGTAGATATCATCGGCCAACTCAAAATAGAAAGCAATATATATCAGATAATATCATAAAATCAACTACAATGCTCAACAGGTAGCAACAACAAGTACAAGAATCATTGATAACAACGCCAAGTACACCAATGAGGACTCAAGCCTCCACACCATACTCATTTGGGGAAATAGGTTCATTAATTTGAGTATATTAATATAATCCAAGATTCATTCTCTTTATTTCCTTTTGTGTCGGAACGTGACACTCCGATCCCCTAATACTACGTGTCGGTTCGTGACACCCGATCCACTAATACTATGTGTCAGTTCGTGACACCCGATCCCCTAATACTATGTGTCGGTTCATGACACCCGATCCCCTAATTCTATGTGTCGGTTCGTGACACCTGATCCCCTAATACTATATGTCGGTTCGTGACACCCGATCCCCTAATTCTATGTGTCGGTTCGTGACACCCGATCCCCTAATACTATGTGTCGGTTCGTGACACCCGATCCCCTAATTCTATGTGTCGGTTCGTGACACCCGATCCCCTAATTCTATGTGTCGGTTCGTGACACCCGATCCCCTAATTCTATGTGTCGGTTCGTAACACCTGATCCATTAACCTCATTCTTTTAGTTCATCAAGCCTTCTTTTATACCAAGGCATCATCATTAACAAAGAGGTTTTTAAGATTTAAGATTCAACAGCCTCATCATGATAATTCATCACAATTACATTATCATATCATGCAAGCACACAATTAAGCATATAGAAGACTTTACAAAATTACCCAATACATATCATTCGCTATTAAGAGTTTCACTACGAAATAGCATACAAACCATAACCTACTTCCACCGAAGAATTCGTGATCAAGCAAGCTATCCCCCAAAACCTTTGCTTTCTTCTTCGTTTCTCTCTTCTCTCGATCGTTCGTTCTCCCTCTTCTCTTTTTCTGATTTTTCCTTATTCAAACTCTTTTTCTTTTACCCTAATTACCATATAATTAAATATAAAAGATGACTAAAGTAACCCACTAATTAATTCAAGGTTATCTCCTTTAACCCCCCAAAAAATGAATTATTAACATTCAACCACTAATTTTATAATTATAAGCAGGAATAGTCCAAAACGCCCCTTAAAACATTTAACAGAAATCCGACCCAGTCAGGGTTACGCAGCCTGTGACGGCCCGTTGTGCCTGCGACGGTCCGTCCTGCTGCTTCCGTCACAAAGTTCAGAGACTGAATTTTACTAAAGGGCCTGTGACGGTCCGTCGTGCCCACGACGGTCCGTCCTGCCATGTCGTCGCGAAGTTCAGAGAGTTGTTCTCAGTACCCAAATTTTCAGAATCTAAGTGTTTTGGAACGAGACCCCCTCGACGGTCCGTCGTGCCCATGACGGTCCGTCGTGGGATCCGTCGACTCAGACTGTAATTACCAGAAATAAACTCTACTGCTTAAAACGACTAACAGGTCGTTACAATTATAATATAGGTGCATTAAAGCATATGATAAACGCATTTTCTATAAATAAAATCTATCTCTAACGTGTATAAAAATTATATTATAAATGTATTATAAATATTCCGTGAAAGAGAAAATGCTATTGCTATCAATGATAAATATTTCTTAATAGAGGATATCTATGTAACTTTCTTTTATAATATGTGGATAATATTTATAGTTGAATATAATGTTATTTTAAAAGTGAGCTAACAAACAAACTATAAAAATATTTTTTTAATTCGAAATATAACATAAAATTAGTTTTGGATTTTCAAGTAAAATTAATTACTCCCTCTGTCTCAATTTATGTGACAAATTACGCTTTTCGAGAGTCAAACAATTAAGTTTCATCAAGATTTGCGCATGACATCTTCAATTTTTAAAATGAAATTTACATTTTTATAAACTCTATAAAAAGTACTATTACAATAATCAATAATCGAAAAACTTTTAAAATGTATGAAAAATTTTGAGAAAAAAGTCTGAAAACATATATACCTTTAAAATGCACTATTAAATAGTTCAGCGGGTAACATGTCTTCCATAAAGTTTGGTATCATAACAACAATTTTGATTAAAATTAAAGTATTTTTCAAATCATTTTTTTCAAAAATTTATGATCAAACATAGACTTATTTAAAATTTAAAATTTAAAATAATCATAAATTAGATCGGAGGAAATAACATTTTTTACCAAAAGAATGTCATGCGGAGAAAAATGAAGGGAAAGTGTTGGATGGGACCCATATGTCACGGGGACTTTTTGATTCGGACAAGACTCCGTGCGGCACTTGACGGTTTACTCACGATTCTTTCACGTTCTTGCAAACTCAAGTAAGCCTTAAACTCGGATCGCTAAAAAAATAAGAAGAAAGACACAGGCAAAATTTCGGAATAGAAACTTATATTACTTGTTGGATTATTGGATGCTTTACAAATGAAATGATCCTACTATTTATACTACTCTAATGCCTAAGAGTAAATGCTGATTTACAAGTCCCTAAGTACATGTTTTACATCCCTAGATGATGTCTATACTTCTTCCGAAAAAGGTTCCTAGAATCCTTTTAGTCTGCCTCAAAATCTGCCCCAAAGTCTGCTCCAGGTCTCTAGGGCGTTCTAGAGTCTGCTGCAAGCCTCTCCAAGTCCCTTGGGCCGCCTGGACTGCTGCCTGCCCCATCAGAATGCTGCAAACTTGGGCCTGCCCCATCAGGATGCTGCGAATTGGGCTGGAAATGTGGCAGTATGTCACAATCTCCCCCACTTAATGATGCGACGACTGCGACGCATCGCTGCAAAAACTCCCGAACTTTGTCCTTGAATTGCCACAAGTCTTCGTACTTCTCCCATGTGGCTTCTTCCGGAGTCTGTCCCTTCCAATGTACGAGGAACATAGCGCTGGCTTGTTGTCCTCGTTTCTGTTTGGCTTGGTAATCTATGATGGTTTCAATCTCTCGATCATGCGAGGCAGTGATAGTGATAGGGGCCTTTTTCGATTTGTTCCGGCTGGGATCGTCCTTATCTTCATGATACAGCTTAAGGATGCTTGCATGAAAGACCAGGTGGATTTTTAAGTGTGGAGGCAACTCCAACTTGTATGAAATTTTGTGCATTATATACCCACCACCAATATATCGCAGGATTCATCATGACAGGAGCTTTTGCTCCCATCTTGGCAACAATCTTGAACGGACCCTCATATTTACGCACTAAATTATGATGGACGCCTCTTAGTGCCTTAAACTGCCTTGGATTGAACTTTACCAAAACCATGTCGCCTTCTTTGTAATCCGTGGGACGACGCTTGCGGTCGGCAAACTTTTTCATTCTCTTTGCTGCCTTATCCAAATAAGATTTGGCAGTGTCAAGTTGTTCCTCCCACCCCTTGGCAAGATGGTAAGCGCCCAAGCTCCTCCCCTCAAACGTAGTTGGCATTGAATGGGGAGATTGGGGTTGCTGACCTGTTGCCAACTCAAATGGTGTGCGCCCAGTAGACTCACTCTGTGAATTGGGCTGGAAATGTGGCAGGATGTCACACATAGTAAGTATTAGTAGACCCAATAAATGATAAAATCAAAGATTAATTATGTCAAGAATTTCAAAAAGTTAAAATTCTATAATTCATATATATAAGACTAACTGTTACTAGTTATGACATTATTCTTTATGTTTCAAGTTTTAACATTAATAATCACGGGCTACAACATTTGTTAAATGAAATAAAAGTTTTAAAAAAAAAGGAAAAATTATTCATATACACATTTAAGAGATAATATTACGGGTTTTAAACCTACTTTTAAAAAAATTCTTGCTTATAATAGTTTAATAACGGGTTATAACATATAAATATTAATTTATAAATCAATTAAATTTTACTTTATGAAATAATTAGTCTTTTTATAATTTTATACTATTATTAAATTATTTAAATAAAGAAAACACCATAATTATCACTTACACAATCATAGAAATTTACATTGATTATTCTTCCTTTTTGGCATTAATTAAATATGTAATCCTTATAAATTATTTAAATAAAAATACACCATAATTATAATCTTACATATTTATAGGGATTTTCATTGATTATTTTTCTTTTTTCTACAGTTACCCAGGTTACCTATTCATCTTTCCTCTCTTTCAATTGTATTCCATTGAAACCGTTTTCAACATCTAAATACTGATTTGGAGAAATTTTTCATCATACAATCAAAAGAAAATGACGGATTCACGATACTAAGAATCAAGATTTTAAGATTTTCGATAAAACATGTCAAATTTTTTTTAGCATACTCCTTGAAAGATCCTTTGACTAGTAGAAGTGACTTCGACTATTGAAATACATGCTCCAATTGAAGTCAAGCATATGACAGATTTACCTCAACAAGAGTCATGTATTTTTATCTTTTAGTGATTTCATCAAAAAATTAACTCACTTTATTTCTTAAGTTATTTTTCTTTCAATTTTATTTTAGTAATTGTGGTATATACACATGTTTATTTGTTGAATATATCAAAAATTAAGTTTTTAATATGAGCTCCATTGATAACAAATTAGTATTTCTTTTTGTTAAAAATATCATATTATGCATGTTGTTGGAATGAAACTTGTATTGGTGTGAAACTTGTACGAAATGTAAATAACATCGATATGAAACTGACTCAGATTCTGTAAGCGAGAAAAAATATCAACAAATGTGGATGTAGGTCAGTCATCAAAATCCTCCAAAAGAAGAGCAACACTGGACAATAATTCGAAAATTTCAAAGTAAAAAATGGGCCAAAAAAATTGTGTTGGGTAAATGTTTTATTTAAAATATTTTCTTAATTATTTCAATTTTTTTCATTTATTAATTATTTTTCGAACGAAGTGCAACAATGTGTATAAAATTTATATGAAATTTATATTATATATTTCATTTTATGCTTTAAATTGATATCCAATCATCTGAATGAGTATATGTTTGACATGAAATTGACATGATTCCTTGCATCAATATTTATATCCATTGGTATAAAGTTGATATAAATTTGATGCGTATTTTCTAACACTTGTATAAACTTTGAAGTCTTAATGAAGTTGATAAAATGCTACACTAGTTAGTAGGACTTAATTTTTTTCAAATTATTTCTTTGTGTATATTATTTTGGCATGAATTGCTATAATTTATGCATCTATATGTATATGTCTTGTCATTAAATTGATATAATATTTTAGCAATATGAAAGAAGCAAGAACGATGATGACACAATTAGTGAGAGCGAAGTCACTAGAATTGTAAGCTAGCAAATTTGATGGACCTTGCATAGCAAAAGAACATGCTCTGTATACGAGCAATTATCCAACACCAAGAGCATGCTGATCAAATGTGAGATTTGTTTGCACCTTAAACTTTTTAGAATTATAATTTTTTTAAAAAAAATTTTGGACGATATTTTTGTGTTTGATGCAGTTTTAAGTATTTGATGATAATATCCACTATTTTCTTCTTGTCACATACCAACTATATATAAATTACAGATTGACTATTATAATTTCAGGATACTAGTTATACACAACTGCATATCAATGAGGTACACCATTCTAAGATAAATTACATATTGAGTATAATAATTTTTGGGATAACAGTTATAAACAAACTGCATATCAATTGGATTCAACATTTAGAGTTCATGATCTTACAATGTCTTATTAACTGAAACAAAATGAATACCAATTTAGAATTCGTGAACTAACTCCGTCTAATAATTGGTATTCAACCTGTACACTTTTAGCATCCAGATTTATACATGATTGATTTTTTTTTACTTCATATTCTAGCACAAAAAAATAAAAAATAAAAACTGAATGAAGTTGGTATTCAACCTATAAATATCTTGAAGAGATGATTATGTTAATGTAAAATGGTGATCATTTTGTAAAAACCTCAATTACATTTTGTTTTATTATTCAACTTGGACACCTTATGAATACCAAGTTAATACTAATTATAAATTATGTTGTCTTAACAAGCGTGAACTAAGTACTTGAAAGATGTATGAAGTTGATGTACAATCTATATAAATAATATAAAAAACAAATATGATAATTTAAAACAAAAATCATTAAATTTTGCATCAACATCAATTACATCTTGTTTTATTTTGGTTTAGAATAGGACATGGATACCAAATTTATACATGTGTTAACTTACATTAAATAATATCAGTCGCTATTAGGTGACATACCAAATGGATACCAAATGCATACCATAATTCTTATATAATGTTCACTAATATGTACAATACTTTATATATTAAACTGCACGAATTTTATTTCCAGCAATATGCAATTGGTATGATTTCTGTATGAATCTTGTACAAAAGATAAACAATGTATTAAACACTTGGTTTAAATGCATTTGATATCAGTTATGTATATATTTGATATGCATCATCAATAAATACTATTGAAAAATAATTACTACATTGTACCAATCAAAATAAAACATGAGTCTAAAAGACAAAATAAAATATAAATTTTATATCATTTAAAGAAATAAACTATCATTTTTTGGAGCTTAAGATCATATTTTTTGTGTTAGCTCTGATCTAGTTTTTGCAGCCTCCTTGTTATACTTATGAATCCATGTTTGAATTGTTATCCTCATTAATTCAAGACGTGAAATCACTGACGACATCCTTGCTAACCTGTTAATATTATACAAAGGAATAATAAATATATCATATTTATTTTCACTTTTCATATCAAGATAATACAAATTTTATTCATAACTTTATTCTTCTAACAAAAATTTATACACAATCATCATTACTCATTCATGCCAATATTATTCCAAACGGTCTACTAGAATTCATACCATAAAACATTTCATGAAAAAAATATGTTGTACATAATATAAAGGAATAATAAATATGTTGTATTTTGTACTATCCAAAAATGGGTGAGATGACACTCGTCTTACCCCACCAAGATAAGTCAGCCTAAAAGTCAATCACCTAATTGAGTACGAAAATAAAACAAAAGTCCAATGACAATTAAACTGAATTCAATCCCAAAAACCTGGTTGTCACGTGCACAAGCCTCTAATGTAAATAATAGAAAATTGAAATAGAACATACAAGTCTAAAATGACGTTGTCTTTTAAGTAAAAACAAAATAAAAAATAGGAGTAGAAAGGGTCACAAACAACTACCTTATAATTCTCTACAAGAAACCTCGGAAACGAAGAGAATGGAAGATATCACGAAGATCCGGACTCTTAACCTACAAAAAAAATTGTAGAAGCAAGGGGTGAGTACCAAACCACAAGGTAATCAACGAGCAAACCTCTAAACACTAGATAAGAGAACAAATTTCGGATACTTCTTACACCCTATTCGAACCTCCATACTACAACCTGTATAAAACCAGCCCAACCTAACAATTCACAAGGTACACAACTCAATAACAATACTTTAACAAATTAAAATTCTCAATAACAACTCAATATTCGTCAGACACTAGTTTCACTGAAAAACACTAACAATATCAGCAAAACACAAGTTCAAATCATCAGCGATCAAAATTGTACAATGCTATGAAATTCAATGTCAAATATAGTGATGTATGTCTAACTTAATGATACACACCCACTGTCTCTCAGTCTGGGACCCATGGGGGGACATCTCTGTCCATGCATCCATCGCAGCATGCGATACGATCCTCGATAATAGTAACCATCGCGATGCGTAATACGTCCCTCGAAATATAATATCCATTGCGGCGCGCGATACAACCCTCGAAATGGTTCATCCTCTTATCACATAACACTTATCACAACCATGTCTCATATGCAGTGCAAATGACATATTCAAACAAATAATAAGGAAATAACCATTTTGATAAACAAGGCATAAATTTCAATAATGCAACCGTAATACAACATCAAAAAATAAGCAATGAGCCTCTGAATCATTCTAAAACATCAAACAAGGAAATACACAAATTTCATACGCTTTACAAGGGTTTAGAAATCCACTTGCCTTAACCAATCGAACAATCACTCTGGGACTTCAGCTTTCCCTTTCCGTTAAGCTTCTGAATCGATGCAATCTATTCAAGTATGTATTCACAATAAGGTTTTGGAACTAAGAACACTCACATTATTATGTTTTTGATATTGACCTAAAAATTCACCCAAATTTATAATCAAGTTCGTAATTCTTGATGACAACTAACATTTCAACTATCATATTTTCCAAGTTTCAAGTCTGGAATTGCATCCCAATTTTTTCAATATCATAATTCAAATGGTACTCAAAAAATACCATTCATCTAATATTTAAATATACATACTAATATAACAAAACTTGAACCATAATATAATAACCAAAACTATGAAAATTACACTATAGTGAATTCATAGTATCGTTGCAGAATTATGTTTTGTTTTCTTCTTTTCAGCCCCTTTTGTCCCAATCAATGATTGGCTTATTTTGGCCAATCATTAGTCATCATTACGTATTTAATTTTTTTGTCAATATTTGCCTTAATTTTC